GAAAAGTGTTACAAAAAGATAAAAAGTTCAAGTACAGTTTCCTCAGGTCACAAGTGCACTCGAGGCAGCAAAGGTGAGAAACAACACCGAGGAGTAGCATGGCATGGGCACGGCCTCTTGCGCTGCCTTTCAGGAGTGTAGAGGGCAAGGCGCTCCATTGGGTCCTTCCGGGGAGGAGGCACGTGAGCTGGTAAGTCAACAATGCCATGCATATTTGCTGAGGAGCAGCGACAGTCTTCTGGGGCCTGGAGCATGTTGAGATCTGCTGGCTTGGTGTAGTTTCCAAGGCCTGGCAGGAACTAGATGCAGGCATGTCTGGAAATTCTCTAAAAGGGTCTCAGAAGAATCAGACTCAAAATCTCCAGGGCCCTACCAATTTTTTTTGTGATTTATTTTCTCATTTTTCTCTCACTTTTGTACCTGATTTTGTATTCCTCATCATAAAGGGAATTCCTCTCATTGTACACAGTTCTCGTCTCCAGAACCTGAGTCTGCTGGCTAGGGAGAGAAGACTGGTAAATTACTCTGTCAGGTCAAGGTCAGCCCTAATCTGGCCTTTGAATAGAAAAAGGGAGAAAGCAATTGTGTTCTAAGTGGAGGAGTTCTGTCTCTGGGATGGATTATAACCACATTTGCCCAGAATCAGAAGTGGGTAGTGTGACCCTGAAAGAGCCTGGTATGTCTTGTGATTTTGTGACTTCAAAACATTCTACCTGCACAGAACGCAGTTGTGCCCACAAGGACTTGAGTGTGAGTGGGTGGTAAGGATAAGCACCTTTCTAAATATACTTCAAGGTTCATGGGTAAACCTCAGAATTGAAGAGCCATTGGTGGCCCCAGAAATAAATACCATTCCAATAGAAGGTTGATTCACCCTTGTATTTGCGTAAATTTGATGAGACAATGGGTTTTGGAGGTGCCATTTTTGCCAAAGCTAGTAATGCATGGGTGACCTGCAAGTTTCTGGGCATAGGCCAGTGCTGTAGGCTCCAGAACCAAGTTTCCATCAGCCAAAAGGGCTATGAAAAACTGCCTCGTACAGTTAACAGAACTGAGGATTCACAGTGGAAAGACCTAGATTTAAGTCCTAGATTCTTTCAAATCACCTGATAAATAAACGTAGTGAAATCCATCCTAACAGATTTCTGGGAAGGGGGACCATATTACTCTATCAGGCAGTTGTAAAGTGAGCCAGTATCGTACAGTTGGAGTTGGTTTGGGTTGATTGCTGCAACAGCAGTTCAGTGTGAAATATTTTGAATTTCACCCTGCATGGGGCATAGTGAGGAAGCTCGTTAAGAGACTGGCCTAACTATTCCTAACAGTCAAGACACGGAATCAGCAGAGGTGTCTGTCAACAGATGAGTGAATGAAGAAAATACAGTCTGTGTACACAGGGGGGTATTATACAGACACAGATATGAAGAAAACCTTGTAATTTGCAGGAAAAAAAATGGAACTGGAGGACATTATGTTGAGTGAAGTAAACTAGTCACAGAAAGACAAGCATTCGTAATGTGGAAACTATAAAACAAGAAAACCAAATGATCTGAAGATAGAACACAGACGGGCACCTAAGGGGGCAGGGAGAGGAGGAGGGAGGGTGTGAGAGGATAGAAGGGAGACGGCTGTGCTCGGTGTACACTGTGTGTGTGGATGCAAGTGTCACGGTAAACCAGGTAAGTTCTACAACTAATATGGGTTAATGTAAAAGGAAATATGATGAATTAAAGATATTTTTCAGGTAAACAAAAACCAATAGACCTTACCTGATGGAATGTCTAAAGGATGTTTTGCAAGTAGAGGGAAAATGATTTCAGCGAACAGGTCTGAGATAAGAATGTTGTTTTTAAGAAACTGTAAAAATGTAAGTAAGTAAATCTGAACAAACATTTTATGAAGCCGTAGTCAAAATGTCAAATATGTGGGTTAAATAAAGGTCAAGGCTGTTATAAATAAATAATAAATAAATTCCCTCTGTTAAATTGGAGGTCAGAGGAAGAGACTAGTACCAGTGCTCCACCCCGTGCAGGCACGTCTTATTGTTCCCAGCACAGATTAGATTGTTGGCTACAATACAGGAATATCAATAACATGGAGACAAAATCTCCTGGGTCACCATGGCTTGGAGTTGCTACGGGTAGGGACAAAGGTTAATGTTACTGTATATGAAAATCAAACTCATCACACTGGACCCAGAGGCTCTCGATCCTGGCTGCACATAGAATTATCTCTTGAGCTTTTCAAGAGTATTTACGCCTGGTGTCCTCTCTGAATCGATTATATCGGAATCTATATACATGGGGCCATGGGGCATCTTCCCTAAGGAAGAATTTCCACAGTTGATTGTGTAGTCTTGTTTAGTCATGAATCAGAGTCTCTTGCCTGCACACCTCCATCTGCAGACACTGTGGCAAGGGTCCACTTTGTATGTGAGCTACTATCTTCTAAAACGGCTACACTGTACATGCTTTATCAAAAAAGGCAACAAGAAAGACCACAGCCTACATATTATAAGGCTCAACCTGGCCCCCTTTCAATTATGCCTCTCTTTAGGGAACAAGAGTACATGGATCCAAAAGGATACCACCTCCCTTCACACAGACGCACACCCTTAACTACGTTTTTTAAAGTCTTGGGTCTCTGGAATTCCTTTTCTAACCAGTCAGACAGCTTTTAGCACCTTCTAAAGCCACTTTCATGGGTCTATCCACCTACCCGAGGGTAGAGTAAGGCCAGATTTTCCTGGCCAGTGAGTTTCAGAATGGAACTCCAAAGAGTCAAAGGACTTTAAATATGAACACGTCCTCTAGAGTATTAATAAAAATACGTTTGTCATGAACAGAGGGTGGGAGTTTAAGAGTTTAAGAGTTTTTGAGCTTGCATCACAATTTTTAAGTAATTCGACATATGGCACAGAGGCCTCCATTTGTACTCCGTCCCTGAGCCCTGCAAACATTAAGAGTGAGCCTAGAGGATTTGTCTCTACCTCTCTTCCCTCTGGGATGTTTTCTCATTTTAAATCAGCAGCCATGGAAACTTTCCAGGCTTCTCTGAATGCAATGAGAATGTGGTTCATCAAAAATGCTGTCTGGCTTTATTGCACATGAGAGGTTGTTAACTCTGGCAGCCCAGCCAGATTCTTCTATGTTCGCATTGTCCCTTCCGCCTTCCCAGCCAAATCCTAATGGGGTAATGAGTTTGTGCCTATGAGATTTGGGGAAGGGGCCGAGGAAAAATGTAATCAAGCGAATCACAACCTAAAGACAGACAGCCTCTGCTCCTTTCAGTTCACTTTCAATCCACTTAATTTCAGGAGTTTTTTTTTTTTTTTTTCCTCTTTTGGCAGCAGGAAAGAAAAGGAATGGTCTCTGTTTTTCTTCGTGTAAAACCTGAAGCATGATAACTACCCAGATCTCACAGGGACACTGTAAGGACAATCCCTTTATAGCCTGCATATGAAAAAGTATAAGGATTATTGTTTGCCCCATTTGTTAATCTTCCCGGGTTTATTAGGGTTTTAGAAGAGAAATGTGGCTATGTTTTAGGAGAGGCTACATGGGGAGGTGGGGAGTAGGGCAGAGGTAGCCGGTGACAGAATTGACATCGCATTTTATAAGTCTGGCACCAGTGTGTGTGGAATGCTTCATGATCTGGCTAGTATCAGGCAAATAAGAAAGTTACAGCAAACCAAGGTTTGCTTGGGCAGTTCTCAAGCAATGAGTTTTCCCAGTACATGAAGCAGACATTTGTGGGAGTGTAAGGTTCCATAATCTAGGCAAATGCCAGGAAGACCACCAGTAGCGTCTCTGCAGTGGCTAAGGCACCTTGTACCTCCTGCCACCAAAGGAGTCAGTCACTACCCTTAGGCCAAGACTTGGTGGAGTGGGGCACAGGTCCTAGGATGGCTTGGGCCCCCCAGGGGTAAGAAGGCGCCATCATGTTGCTGGCCGTTCGGTGGGAACAGGCAGGAAGGAGGCTGTGTGGGGTGTAGCTCCCACACAGATGTTGGCACAAAACAGCCTGTTTACGTGGTGATTAGTGTGACGGAGGAAAGGCTCAAGTTTCTTCTGCTTAGGAAGGGTGGTTATTTTTCCCACTCTGCAGCTTTTGCTACTGGCACAGAAAATGGGCTGTTTTCCAGCTTGGCAGGTGGGATACCAGTCTCAGGTCCATTGGTGAGGACTTAAAGATTTGTCTGTCCTTCTGCACATGTGTGTGAGTAACAGGCTGAATCTCAGAGGAGCTACCCCCAGCCAGTCTATTCCCTGCATGTACTCCGCCTGTGTCATGAGATGGCAGCGATCAGCACCATCCTCCTCCTGATGCCACCAGCAGAGCAAGGGTGGAGGGCCAGCATAGGGCTTCCTGAGGCAGGGACAAGGAAGGAATTACTCTACACGCTCTTTTTCCACAAGCAGAACTGCTCACAGCCAAAGCTTCCAAACTGGACATGCTGTGCAAGTATTATTTGCTTTGTGCCTCTAAGCTTGGAATCACTGGGTAATTGAATTATTCTACCATTTCCCTGAAAGAAGTCTGAGCCAAGAGGTAGAAAGATCATGGAGTTTGAACACAAAGAGCTCTTGCTTTGAATACTGGTTCTTCCACTTATTGGCTGTGTAATCTTAGGTCAGTTATTTAAGCATTCTGCATCTCAGTTTCCTAACATACAAAATAGAGCTAGTAATAATGCTCAACCACAGCACTATTATGCAGATGAAATAAGGTAACTCCCAGGGTCATCTGATGTTAGGAAGCGGCTGTGAACAGGAAATGTGCTTTTCAGAGGAACTGCTCCCTCCCTACCCCTGTAAAGTCTTGGGGCTTAGCCGGAGCACCTAGGGGAATGCTGCTCCACAGTCAGGATGCTGCCTCTTCCTGTCCCAGTGAGTAAATTTAGCTGCTCTCATTGCTTTCAGGGAAAATAATTTCAGGAACCCATATGGGGGACTCCTGTCCTCTGTCCCCCACCATCCCACACCACCTTCCATACTCACCATATAATGGGACAGGAAACTGAGTCGAGAAATCTTGTCTGGTGACAGGATGGCGACACAGGTCTTCCGGGAAGTAGTGCTGTGCAGAGACACTGAAACGTCTTGTTAGGAGGTCAGATATCATCTATGCAAGCCCCCTCAGTTCATCTGATGTTGAAAAGCTAGGTAGTGGCCAAAGGGTTACTGAGAGACCAGTGTTGGCTTCAAGTCTGCTCTGAAGGCCAATCAGGAAAAGAGCACTTTCTGCATCCAAGTCCCCAGCATTAACCCAATACCCTTACTTTTAGCTGTGGGTGTGGATTATCTTATGTCCAATGTGTTCTAACCAGAGATGCACACTCTCCTCGGTCCTTCCCCTGTGCCAGTTCTCTTCTGCATACCACCATATCTCTCTGCAACATAATGCTTGTTATCATCATTAGGCCCAATTATCACTGATACTGTGCAATGTTTTTTTTTAAATTCTTGGTGCTGTAATGATGGATATTATGTCTTGGCCCCACTCTTCTGCCTGATCTCATCCAGAACTTCTCAGACACCACTGATAAGATGTATGAATAATATGAATGGCATTCCCTGCTGCATGATGCATGTGCTGAGAGTGTAATGACAGGTCTGTGGACAGGGTGGTGTGAAAGGGGAGGGAGGACGAGCTTAGGTGGACGGAAGAGACTATTAGAACCAGACATGGGCAGTTCAGAATTTTGCAACCATCCCAGATCTCTTCACAGCAACAGGAAAATTTATCTGCTCTTTGTCTCAACAAGCTTACGGACCTGCCAGAAATTTCTGGAGTTAGACTACACACCTTCTTTATGTTCCTTTTCCACGACTCAGTCCTCATTTTCAAAACCAGGAACTTTGGTTTGCAATCACAAGGAATGTACGCTAGTGACCTTAATCTTAAGAGACATAAACTAAGAAAGCATGTTGTCAGAGGAGTCTGGGAAGAGAAGGGATGGGAGGGGTGCAGACTCTGAGGCTCTTCTGCCTGGGTGTTGTGGAAAGATTTCCATTCTGCACACTAAGACATCTTGCCTTTTTAATGCCATGGCTGGTAAGCACAATAATCATCTAACCCCTTAATCCAGTTTCTAAAAGCAACTAGAGCAGCCATCATCATTATTTAAAACAAACAGAAACCAAAACTAAGAAACAAGCATTAATTCCTTCCTTCTGCAGGCACTGTGCTTCACTAGCAATACAATAAGCATCCCAAGCAGTGATTCACAGGAAGGGGAAGAACTGCATGGCAGTCTCAACAGTTTGTGACATACAAGGTTGAGGAGGAGTCTGGGGCCACCACTCCTATATTTCTTCAAACTGCCCTTGACCCCTGCGTTAAGTCTCATCCACCTGTGAAGTACCTGACATCACCCTTGGACAACATCAAGCACCATTTTTTTTTGCAGCCTAAACATATGATACACAAAGACATCTAAGGGTACAGCAAGCCAGCTTGGGAACTAATTGTCACTAATTATCACTGTGTCACAGGAATCAATGTGGATTGATCCTGCTCCCAGCACCCTTGACAGGAACAAGAAAATATTACTCACTAGGGCAAACCTGGTTGAGTACTTTACTTTTAGAAATAGTGTGGTCATCAAATAAAATTCACAATCACAGATAGCTGAATTCTGACAATAAGAAGTGTTCAACACAGTGCTCCTCTATTATTATTTCTATTATTATTATTACTATTATTATTTTCATGGTACTAGGGATCAAACCCAGGGCTCTGCATATACTATGCAAGTGCTCTAACACAGTCCTCGTTGTAGCAATACTTTTTACCATTATCGAAAGTTTAAAAGTTCACTATGCCTTAAACAATTTAAGGCTTTGGAAAACTGCCAAAGAATACGATAAAGAAAAGAAGAACCAAAGAAGAATGAGAAAATGTTGTCACCTTTCTCTGTAGAATCTTCTCATTGAATGGTGTGCTGAATGAATTAGTATGAATCTGGCTCTTAGATAACATTTAACTAATATGATTGTTATTGGGTTACCATTTTTTAGGTATCAGTTTGAAAGAATGTCAAATCATGCACTGTTGCAAGTTGCCCTCATGTCTTGGTCAGCCCATGATTACACATATTCACTCAGAAAATTTTTTCCCAGAATGACTGAAATGAGATTTACTGACATTGTTGATGGGCCTAATATAGTAGAATTAGAGGCAGTGAGATGCATATTCCCCCCGCCCCTACCCCCCCTCCGAGGTGGCTACTAATAGAAAACAATTCTCTGGAAGGGCTGGGTATAGTCCAGTTTTCCTAGTAGTCTTAATTACTCAATCAGCATGATTACATGGTCAATTAAATTGACTGTGGATTAGTTTAAGTGATTAAAGAAAAAAAGCACCTTGATCCTTTTTCTCTAGGTGGTACTTCATATGAAATAAACAGTCTTTTCTAAATATTTTTAGGGAGTAAGATTTATTACTGTTGTATGATAAATTTTCCCAATGATTAAACGGCTTAAAAATACGAACATTGGGGCTAGGGATTTAGCTCAGCGGCACAGCACCTGCCTGGTAAGTGAAAGGTCATGAGTTCAGTTCCTGGTACCGGAAAAAAAAAAAAAAATGAACATTTTACACATCCAGCATAAATTTTCTTAGTGAAACATAAGCTCACTTTCACTTTGCTAAAGGTCACTTTCCAAATGTGATGTCTTCTTGCAGTTTCTTTTCTGACTTCAAACACGTTATCCACTTTGTCTGGGATAAAATTCAAACTCATTTCCTGGAGAACCCACCCATGCCCTGTTCACTCACCTCTTCTTCTCCCCTCTGATTTTATCTCTTCTCATGCCACCCCTGCTGGCTCTCAGGCACACTGGCCTCAGGTTATGAAACACTAGACACAGGCCTGCTCCAGGGACTTTGTGCTCACGGTTTCTTCTGCCTAGAGCTCTTGTTCTTAGACATCTGCTAGCATGAACTCTTGCATTACTCAGGTTCTTACCAAATGTTCCTTCACTAAAGAGGCCTTCCATAAAATCTCTATGTAAAAAATACAAAAACTACTCTACAATTCCATAATTCCTTAACTTTATCCATTACCTTACTTTCTTTTTTCCTTCTCAATATTTTCCCTCAAATATTTATGTATCTATTGCATGTCTTCCATTCTATATTATAGGTTGGACATTTATCTCATGTTAAGCAGTGCAAAAATACAGTGGCAAAGTAGGAAGCATATGGAAGACACAATCTTTCCTCTAAAGACATTTACAATCTAGCTAGAGACAATATTTGCACATGTGAAGCAGCATAGAGAAAGATAATGCATGGTAAGCTGGTCAAACTGTATTCAGGCGAAAGTAGACAAGTTCTAGACTTTCAGTTACTATTACAGGTCACCCACTGTATTCCAAGCACTGTTTGGGTCTGGGGATACTAAAGTAACTAAACTAGGGGTCTTTGCTTTTGTTCATTATTGTATTCCCTTTAACCCTAAATCCTGCAGTGACAGTTTCATCAGGTTTGAGAGATACCCGGCAGAGTAGCAAAGCCTAATCCTTGGGGTGTCTGGCGGGTCATGGAGGCACGGCTGGGGTAACACACATGGTCCCGCACTGGTTCCCGTAGGGGTGTCCTGTGCTTCCGGCCACCACGGACTGAGCAGCTCTACTCTGCTGCATCTTTCCACCCCACCTTGCTGTCCTGTTGACTCTGGACTGAATGCCTCCAGACTATGAAGCCAATTAAACCTCTCCTCCTTTAAGGTGTGGGGGTCAGGCACTGTGTCTCAATGACGGGAAAACTAATGTACCCCACACTAGTTTTAGGTGAACATATATTCATTCAGCTCATGTTATAAAACATCGTCATGGAACAGACACTAGGACACTACAATTAACAACGTGTTGGGCCTGAACATAAGCCTTTTCTTTCTCTGTTCTCAACCGAAGGAAAAATGATTTAAGCGTATGCTTTCTCCTTGAGAGCCTGTCAGTTTTTAAAAAAAAAAATGGGCTTGTGCTGTGTGTTTTGCAATCTTAGTGATCTTTATCTTTACAGGTTAATTTCTTTCATTCATAAAATATTTTTAACAGATTGAATTTTAAGTACAGCTTGATTTTTTGGTTACAAAAAGACACGATGTACTTTGTGAATTAATTATTTTTGAGTCTTGAATACAACCTGGAGTCGGACCTTCCAGCAAGCCTCACTCAGGTACCAGGCAGCGGTAAACCTCTCGCTGCCTGCAGTGATTTCACCAGAGTTTCTGGCTTCTCCCAGTAATCTTCTATACTTTCTTTGCTTTAGTAGTGCATTGTTTTCTTATCTTTGCTCCCATAAAAAAATGCTCTCTTTCTCCACAGAAGCTGAAGTGCTGTCTTTCTAAGTGGTGTTTTTGCTGTGGACATCCCATAGCTTTCAGTATTCCCACACCTCTTCCCACCAGAGTGAACACTTTCTGCAAACTTTAAACAGATAAAGCGAACTAAGTTTGCTATGTGTGCAAACAATCTTGGCTTGGTGTGAGATTCTGACCAAGATTTCAGATAGTTCCTATTTTATAAACACGACTAGTCATCCCAAAGGGGAGCCTTGTTACACTGCTTTCTATAGAGCAAGGCGGGAGAAGTGGTAGCAAGTTATGGGAAATGGGAGAAAGGCCATTCTCCTACCTCTGGGAGTGTAGATGGTTGATATGGAAGATTACACCAGAACAAAGATTGCATTGCTGGCTTATGTCATTTATGCTTTACTTGTACTACATTATTATAGACTAGTTCTATTGTCTTGGTGGACAATAGAAGGTTTTATTTCAACATTATGTACAGAATGCCTGTATGGTCTCTTTCTTCCCTCCTCCAGATGCAGAAAGATATTTAGTATCAGGTTTCTGAAGGAGCTATGTCAAAGTGAGGAGGTATAAACATTTCCTTTCCCCCCTTTCTTCCCCCGTGTCAGCTCTCAAAGTCCTGTAATTCTTCTGTTGTTTATTAGAGAACAGTAAATCATGGCACATTACAGCACAGCAGTATTGTGCAACTCTGTACAAACAAAAATAAATGATAAACTAGAACCCCGAGAGAATTCTTCTATTTCAAATGCCTACAGAGCCACATTTAAGGGAAAATGATGTAATCATAAGTTCTTGGAATAATCAAGTAATCTCCTATTTTCCTTCTCTCTCCTTGTTCCTGGCCACAGGTTATAAAACACATACATATAGAAATCTGAAGTT